CACATACGCTTTAATTGGAGCAACATCTTAAGATCGCTCGGCGATCCGCTTCTGCGATATCCGCAGGAAAGGCTATCTAAAGCCACGCCTGTAAACTTCAACTGCTTTCAGCCACATTTCTTTCGTGCGCGTTTGAATCTTATTGAGGTAGTTAGGTCAAAAATGATGAAACGATGAAATGTGACGTTGCCGCGATCAACGCTCTGCTAACGCTACGCAATTCAGAATACCATTTCATTTTCTGTACCTCCTTTTTATTTTATCGGTTCTTAATATCCTAAGAGAGGCGATAGTGTTTAAAAATCTGTTCTTGAATTTATAAAAGAATTCGTTGTCCATTGAGCTTCATTGATCAAGTCTCATTTGGACTAGCACAGTTGGGAAAGAATCACCTTAAATGAAACGTGAAATACTGGAAGGAAAGAACCGCAAAAAGACGTGAAAAAAGATAATAAGCCACACGAGGCGTTCTTCGCGGCGATCGTTATCTTGATTATATACTCATAGGTGCACATGTGTATTAATGATTAATTAGCTAAGTGGAGGAGCGGACACTTCGACGTCAGCGACACGTCAACGATCTGCCCCCGTGAGTCATTCCGCAGCCGGCATTGACTCAGACGCGAATATCGCGGCGTTTCAATTAATGGCGACGCGGGCGGGAGGGGGAGGGCGCACGTAATTGCTTAAACCGGTCAATTAGTCGAATACGGATACGGTCGCGCGCTCGGTCCTCTCGCGCCGGCGAGGAGACAAAAGGGCGCGGGCGAAGGATCACCGAAGACGTGCTCGCGGCCGAAGGGAATGTAACGGGGTCGCTCCTTTGTGCCGGAAGACCGAACACACTTGGGAGGGCTCCGGTCTCTTCTGCAAAATTGCCTCGAGTATCGGTCGGGAGCACAAAGGGAAAGGGCGAGGGCGTGGGAGGGGGAGGATTGGCGGATCTTAATTCTTCCCGGTACTACTCGGTGTCGTGCCGTTGCGTACGGCGTACGGAAGAGATTACCGACGTGTCGGGACTCATGAAAAATAATCGCTTGCATTAGCAACGACGGAAGGGCCATGGCTTTTTCTCTCTCCTCTCTCTCTCTCTCTCTCTCTCTCCCCCCCTCCCTTTCCCCCGCGGGCCCTTGCCGCCACCGTGCTCGACGGGCATGGATGCGGAAAGGGCTGAGGGGGGGACACGCGTCCTCCGCTTATGCTTCACCGGCCGACACGAAAACGGTATTTATAGTTATGCGGGAGCGACGTAATTCCAGCCGTCGCGGAGCCGAAAAACAATTCTCCACCGCTCGCGTCGATCAGTGACGGCCGCTAATTGCGCGCGGCATTATCACGCGGGGAACACGCGCGATTATTACTCTTTGCCGTATATCATTTAACGGCTACCTGTCCCTTCGCGAATGTGTCGTAACTTTACGCTCGCAAATTCACGACAACGCGGAGAGACGGGGAGGCCTCGAAGGCGCGAGTACCGCGACGCTCCTCCGCGCGCTACGCAAAGGGCGTACGCGCAGCTTTTGTCCGTTTTCGTACGGAATTTGCAGACCGCGTAGGTGAAGCTCTCATTCTTCCCTTTGTCTCCCCTTTCTTCTTTGTCACGAACGTTCGTTCCTTTTAAGACGCGGGACGCCGCATGCGGGTGAAGTCACGGCTCGGCCGGACATTCCGGAAAAATGTTTTCTCGCTAACCGCTTTTATCTACCTATCCCCCTCGTTTTTCCTGTCCTTTCTCTCTCTCTCTCTCTTTCTTCCCCCCCCCCTCTTCTCTCTTTCGCCGGACGTCATTGCGACTCGCACGCAATGCGTTCGCGCCGTGGAAAGCCGTGAATGGTACCGCGGTAATGTTAATGCGAGATATACGGTTTGCCGATACATATGTATGTGCGCACGTATATACAGGCTGACCGTCAATGTCCGCAAGTGGGGTCTTTTGTTGATAGACGACGACGACGACGACGATGACGACCGCGGCGGTGGCGGCGGCACCGACGATACACACGCACGTGTATCAAGTGGGCGTCGATAGTCGTCGTCGCCGCACGGCGACGAGCCGCGTGACGCACGCGTGGACATTCGGTCTGGAACGGTTTCGGCATATACGTGTCGACGTGCGTAATCGCACGTTAATACGCGCGCGGGAATTCGCGGGCGTATTAGGCTCGTTGCGCCAGAGACGAAAGCGAGACGAAACAGTCTGGCGATCGGGTGGGCTCTACGGCGAACATCCACGTCTTGAAAACTTCGGGGACGGAATTTCGACGCGACGAGATGCACGATTCGTTCGCGCGGAGCAACGCGAAAATTATCAATTTTATGTACAATAATTAAATAATGCGCGTAATAAATTTCTACGCGAAAGGACACTTAGGTACACCGAAAAGGAGCGGCGGGCTCGCGGTTGCTCGCTCGGGCCGGGCGAGCGGAGAAAGCGACGCGAAGACGACGCGTCAGGCGCTCGGCGGCTGCCCGGCCGCTTGCAACAACATTCCTTTGTTAGAAACCAATTCCTTAGCCAATAACGCCCGTCCGCGTCTGAGTCATAACGCGATCTGAGCCGAGTGACTCAGGCGCCGAGACCGCCAGCAATGTCCTGGCCGGAGGACGCGGCAGCCGAACCTGCGCCCGACGCGACGCCGCCCGCTTCTTAGGACCCCGGCTCTCTCCGCAATGTCCCGAATCGGACGTGTGCAACCAGAAATTTCTGCAGACGCGACACGGGACGGTCCGCTCTTTCCGGGAAGGACACCGCTCGGTTCTACCTACGATTTATCTGCCTCCCTCTTGATAAAAGAAAAAAAGAAAGACAAAACTACAGAAACCGCGATGCGAAACAAGATAGCGTCGAAGCGTGTACGAGAATCTCTCGTTGCCTATGCTCGCATCGCCGTCACGAACGACCGAACGACTCAATTCTCATAATTTTGAAGATATACATAGAGACGCTCGCTAGGGCCGAAGCGGGCGGATTTTCAGGGGCGTTTCGCGCTTCGGGACCACCTCGCGGAAAGAGAGCCGTCGGACGCGCCCGGCACCTGCACGTTCGCCATTTCCCCCCTCGTCTACTCAAATATTTCCGGCTCACCTTGCGGCCGGGAACGCGCGATCGCGTCGCTCGGGCGAACGGTGCATCGCGCAGCTGGCGGCTGCTTGAAGAACGAATATCTTTTTTGTTTTTGTTCCCGGCACATCTCCCGCAATCAGTACAAGGAGTTATCGCGCCGGCCGATCCGCCGACGACGGCGGACCGTGTTTCCCTCCGGTCGCTATTTTTTTTTTTTGCGGGAACACGCCCGAGACTATCGTGTCTTCTGTGACTGAAAGACGATGTTACGTTTCGGTAAAAAATATCACTTTATTCGAGATTTCGTCGAAGATTTTCCGTTACTATGAAACAAAATGAACGATTAGCGCTCGGCGTAAATGCTATACATCGTACGGTCACGATCAGCAAGGTTGTCCGACGTTTTACAACGAGTTTTCGGAACATTCGTATGTATCGTTGCGTAGACATTCGTACATACCAGTCTTCTGCTCTGATAATGCGTCACTGCGCATATCCGTGAGCAAAAGCTGTACAATCTCTAGCGCGATAGATACCACTTCCGAAATTTATCATTAAACGTCGGGCAACTTTCTGACCATGACTGTACAGTACTCATGGCGAAATACCGAGCGAGCTTCGACATCGATGCGTTATATCGCACGTAGCGCGATACAATCAATACAAACTCTCGCTTCTTATAGTTCCTTATCCGTAACCGCAAGCATTTTGTTTTCTGTACATTAACGCTCCACGAAGAAAAAGCGATATCTTATAACTGAATATCTGTACACTTAGACATTAGATTCAGCGTCAAGCTAGATAGTAACAATGTCATACTCGTTTAAAGATAATTATATACTCATCATTTTTCGCACTTATTGCAGTAACACAGCAAGGTTTTCGCTACTTGTATCCGTCGTTACATTGCATAATTGTTACATAGAATATACTTAAAGTATAGTACGTACCTACTAGAGATATATTTTTTATATATGTAAATATGGAAAAACTCTTGTATAAATTTCTAAAACCTTTTCGAATGTAATGCGAATAGTTGCGTTCATGCATATTGGTACAATTGTAAGAAAGTCTCCTTTGCTATGATACTACAATACATATACAAGTGAGAAATCAGCTGGACTTAAAAAACTGAATAAGTGGTAATTATTGTTCAATTAAAAAATGTATGTCTAATGCTTTATAACGTGAATTCGAAAGTAAAGGTTAATGTGTCCGATATGATCAAGTTTTGCACTCAGAAATTTCTTTCTTCTTTCAATCTTGTACACTTCTAATTTATCAAAATTCATCCTGTTTTTATACAATATATGTTGGATATAGTAATGTATTTATAAGTGTCGAACTAAAATTACTTCAGCTCTCGGAGTTCTCTCAAAGTACTTACATTACCCATTAATTACGTTTACATTTGGAAATTTTATCGATTTTTTAAATATTGAGTAAATTACTAATTATACTCGGCAACAATTGAAACGTTTTTAAAAAAATCTGGCATTTTTACAAATGATGCTTTATTCCACGTAAATATGATTGGTTCGGTACGATCCAATTAATTTATAAAAAAAATCTTTGATACATATACATACATGTACATCGTCTTAAAGGATTCTATAAGTTTACTATTTATAGTATATGTCTGCAAAAAATATCTAATTTCTATACTCTATTTAAAATGATCTAAAACTGTAGTTTATTAATGTTAAAATAAAAAAAATATTTTCTTCTTTTCTATATGTATAATATTGTCTAGAATAATATAGTAATAAATATTACGTATTTATTATTATATTATTGATATATAATACTATATTATAGGTGTGTGTGTGCGTGTGTGCGTGAGTGTATGTTTCTAATATATAGATTTATATATAACAATTAAAGAAAATTGTTATTAAAAATAAATATGGGGAAAAATAAGGAATTTGGTGATATATACTTATAAAAGTCCCCTTTATCCAAATACAATATATACATACACATGTACATATAGTTTGCAAACATAACTATAGATAGTAAGAACATAAAAAACTGTTGGTACTTTTTCCCTAATATATTTGTACAGCATTGGGACTCACCAGAGCAAGTTTCTTTTTTTTTCGAGATGTCAACTCAAACTTGCTGGAAGATCTTATGAATAATTTTTTGAGAGGAATTTAATAATGTCAATATACAATTAATTGCATTAGTGATACAGGCGCGCAAAATTTCGTAAAGCATTTGTGACGGTTTTCGGTGTGTCTGACCTAAAAATTGTAAAAAAATCGATATTAATCCGTTGAGTTCTGCAAGTTGCTTGAAAAATTTATAGCCATCTCCAATGAAGTAAATGATTAAATCGATTGTTTGTAATGTACAAATATATAAACTTTGTCCGACTTTTCCGTAAAAATCGGTATGAATTTTTTTGATATTATTTATATTTGCGCCAATATGAAGTTGTATGGTATATACCTCGTGACTGTACTATGAAATTCAAGTAGCTGGTCAGGTGTTGCTGTAGGAGCTCCGCCCGCGTTTTGTGATGGCATTGTTTTGATAGCTTCTTCCAACCACTTTGACATGAGCTGACAGAAAACAGAGATATTATTTCTTCATGTAAAATACGGAATATATAATAGACTACACAATAAAATACATACGTCTGCATCGTTTCGGGTAAGTTCTATTATGACATCCGCCACATCAGACAGCATGTAAAAAGACAACTCAAACACTGCAGCGTGTAGTAATTTTATGACTAAAGTTTGACCTTTTTCCCGCGTAATATTTTGTACCAATTGTCGTCGTATCGTGTAGTCTGATCGGTCCTGTAAAACGAAAAATAGAATATAGTTGGAGCAATTCATGTGAATTATACATACATTAGAGAGATTTAATTTTAATGTTTGATTAAAGTTCACAAAGAATTACCTTATAACTGCGGCCACTATGTAAAAGATCATAGAAGAATTTCATTACTGAACTATTAGCATCCCTATGATCCAAACTGCAAGCCATTATAGCACAATCTACAATGCTCCCCATAACGGGAGAATGTAATAAAGGAATAGGGGCTCTTTGAAGAAACCTTTAAAAAGAACGAAACATCAGACAATATTTCAATAAGGAAGGCCACTTGATAGTATTAATTAATTATTGTTATACCTGGCACAGAGTCTGAAAAGATCGTCTACCGTGTCAGGATGATTCTTCAAACCATCTTCCTGTTCAAGAAGGGCGAAAGTGGGGACTATGAAAGCTTGTAACATATTCACCAGATTCCATACACAGTCCGAGTCAGTTGCGTATTCGTCCACCAATATAGAGCCAAGGTACAAGAAACAACTGTGCTTATGTACCGTGTACAATGGTACGATCTGTGCAAAAAGAAGGTATATATATATTTAATAAATATATCAATAGTGGTATAGTCAGGATGTTAGATATCATTCGGAAGTCATTACCTGTTTCACAATTGGCTCGAGCAAGTGGGCAGAATGTTTGCCCACGCAGCGTACCGCAAAACGTATGCAACGGCAACATCTCTCTGTGACTCTCACGTCTCGTTGATATGTTTCACATACATTGGACAGCACAGGCCACATCTACAAATTTGCACGACGAATGTCATTAGCATTAAGAATCGCTTAGTCCCAGGCTTCTTATCATTTCTCACTCACATCAGTGACTACACTTTGACAAGGATGAGGCTTATTAGGGTCATCGAATTGAGGATTAGTATGTTTAAATATAGCGGCTAATCTATCCAGCCATATCACAGGATCAGTCTTTGTTCCTCTCTCGATTTGAACTCTATCCGCCAGAAGTGCCCATAAGGAACTCGCTTGAAAGCAGCACAGCTCTCTTATTGCCGGCGCAATTTCCTCGTATGGCAATTTTGCCAAAATTATTGACACTCCTGTCACAACAATTAGCGCTTTTCATTTAGTTCATCACGAAAAAATTTATGGACACATAAATGAGTACAGATATACGTAATAAGATAATTTACATTTGGCAATCGCGTAACACTTTGTAAATAAACTACCCATAAGTTTTATCCAACCTTTTAGTAGGCCAATAGCTGCGTCATTACTAATAGCAAAATTGTCGAGAGACCGTGCTATTTGCAATAGCCCAGAAAAGTGTGTTGTCATGTGCGCCGGACAAGCTGTACATATACTTAATAACGCGTCCGAAGCGGCGCTTCCTAATCCCTTTTGATTTAAACAGTCTAAGAGGAAATTTAAAACTGGTTCTGAAATGACAAAATACATTTGAATCTATTAAAATTGACCAATTGCCACCCGAACTAATGAATCCGAAGCGTCTTACCTAAAGACTGCGGATGCCTATCTATCCATTCACATAGCTCGCCTAAGAGGAGAATACTGGTATAGCGTACGGCTATATGTGTATTTTCCGGCAAATTAAGAATAGCTTCCACCACTTTTGGTACCACGTCGTTTTCTTCTCTGTTATACGAAAACTCGTTACATTTGGTATCTTTAAATGCTTTGCTTAACGAATACAGAAAGGACGTACGGTAGAATGTTCTTTGCCACCGCCTGCATTATAAAAAGCGCAGCTTCGGTGGAGTCCCAAGTAGGTGTATGTACAGGTTGACCCTGTGGGCCAGGTCCTCCGGTCAATGACGAAAACATTTGTCGGAAACAGTGGCTACTTCCGACCACAAACACTACATCTTTTATTAAATCGGACACGCGATTCCGAAAGTCAGCAAACTCTTCTCCTCCTCCCCCTTCTTCCACGAGACCCAACTGGCAATTAATACATAATTCTAGTGATTATCACTCTATAGCCTGTGAGCTACCATTCAGTAAAATCACGATAGCAAATATACTGACGTGGTCTGGTTCCATTTGACAATGCCTGCAAAGGGCACCGATCAATCTCTCGATGTGAGGTCGGAATACAGTGTTAAAATCATCGTTATTTTTCTGATAAAGGGCTTCTGATAACCGATACCACAAGTTGAAAGTGATCTGCGCAACCTTAACAAAAGATACAATTTAATCAGTAACCACAATATAATTTTATTTATGTAATTTAATAATAAATCGACGTGGATCTTTTAAATACCTCATAATCATGATGACCAACACACGTAAGGACAAGATCCAAAATTTTTATAGCGTAATGCTGCTTTCCATCTTCGCTACCGGTCACCATAGTGTCTAGAAACGTCTCGGCCAGTTCCGTGAATATCCGACAATAATTTATAGACCTGAAATAGATTCAATGATTATGCTATACAAGCGTACTCGAGTAAATTAAATAATTTACTTTTCCATGTCCTCGTGCGCAACAGACAAGTGATATGGTTGTTCTAAATTCATAACACTTGTGAAAAGACACAATTGCAATTGCTGCAACTGCACGCTTATTTCGTTGTCACTATCACGGCTGGTATTGCTATCTTCCCCTAACACTTGCAAAATTACGCAGATGCAGTCGGTAGCCGTCTCGTGAAGTTGCGAAACAGCCATGTGATTGCTGAGTACCTGGAAAGCAGACAGACTCATTCCATAAAGGACAGAGAGCAATCGGTTGTTCAAAAAACACTATCAGTTTCAAGAGACTCACTTGCAAAGCATAAACGACTACCTCGCTCGAGGGTACAGCTTTAAGTGGTATTGCATGAACGGTTATCCAACTGGTAAAACATCGCAAAATAGTGATTTGGATTTGTAAATTATCACCGCTGTTTTTTAGGCACATTTTCTGCAATTACACTACATATGAAATACCAATGTTAAAACAAAATGCGTGCACGTACACGATTGTGTACAAATTTGAAATAATTTTGTAATATACATGTTTACGTGAAAGGAGTTATTGGGACGATGCGCGGATTCTATGCGAGTGCGATCGATTTACAGTTTTATGAGGGATTGGGTGGGCAGTTAGATCGCGAATAAAGAAATGGAGACGAGTTAGAATGAATTTCGCAGAAAATCAAACTGACATGTACATTACGAAAATTATGCGCGGGATCAATGTTACACGTACCAGAAACTCTGTCATAGTATCCGCATTCGCATTGAGTTCATGCAATATATGCTGTCTATGATTAGCACCCAGCCTGTACAAAAAGAAACTTAATTGTTTCGACTGTCATTATGCGACACAACATAAGCAACGAGATACCGCACTGTACCTGAGCGATCGTGAATTTACTTCTTCTGGAAATACCGTCATTATTTCAAGTAGTGGCCATAGGTGCGCGGTGTTTCCTCCAAACCTATTAATTAAATCTACCACTGGCTTCTGCCAGGAGGACATTTGTAGGGCCAGATCTGTTAGAGCTAAGCATAACTGTAAGCGTGAAAATTTTACGCCATTAATTAAGGCTCGGACAATAATCCGTACAACAAGCGCAAAGTTATAGAAACCTTTTAAAACACGCGAAAGCAGTCTTACAAACGACTATGCACAAATACCTGAGTAACAATGGCAGAATTAGTATGTTCATTGATTTGCGATATATGTTCCATTAACGAATCTCGCAACGATGTGTGAGCCTCCTGCGGTAACTCGTGGAAGGAGAGCTGGATCTTGGTGCGCATCGTTTGTGCAGCAAAGTAACAAGACTCTACATTTCGTTTCTGATGTAACATTTCATCTGCGATTTTCCATGCAAATACCTATAAAAACATACATACATAAGAAATGTACAAGTAACAAGCTCTTGGTCACGAAACGTGATCAATAATTTGTCCCGTGGGACAAGGAATGTTGTACATTACAGTTGTTAACGGAGCAATTGATAGAAAGAGAAATATCGGTCGCGCAGATGCGAAAAGCGCGAGTGAAAATGCGGAAACTTTAAGAAAGCGTTGCGGGCCTGGCGTGAAATTTAGTTTGCTCGCTTTGCAACGGGACGTACGAAATTTCTTCCTATGACAGTGTGATAATCCTCCCCTTTAAGGTTAGAGAGCGGCTTCCCATATTTTTGACTCGCGACGCCGTTAACGCGAGCGTATCGTGGAACACGCCCGCGTTCGACGTCAGAACGCGAACGGTTGAACCTGGGAGAGGCGCGGGAGGGAACGCGAACGTATAACGATATCGTAGGCGATCCGTGTGCTCACCGATCTCTGCAGTTCTCCCAGCCATAATGACGCTTTTCCTGGCTCGGCCGGATTTGTGTTGTTATATAAAGAGAACACGGCCTGGTAGACGGTCTCCAGGTTCGGCGGCGAATCCATGTTTCAGAGAGTTGCCGGGCGCCGCGAAATCCCCATGCAGTCAGATCCCGGTTGACAAACGGATGCAGTCGCGCGAGGCCGAGCCGCCAGCCGTACCTTTCTCGCTGCGATCTGCGGAAACCTAACCTCCAACGGGCAACGGACGGTGTCGGGCGGTGCAGCGCGAAGCCGTCATGGCAATTTAGCCTCCGCCTAGCTGCCACGTCTCGTACATTAGAAATGCACGCGCGTTACGCGCGTGGAACGCAAATTATGAAATACGCACGACGAGTGGGAACAGAAGGGAGGAAATTTTGAAAAAAAGTACCGAAAGTGCAGCCGAAAAGAATAGACGTCGGGGTGCCGTCCCGCACCTTCCGCACTCGGGCCTGCATCGGAACGCGCGGTTCATGATCGAGAATCGCTAGCTGGAGATTAGAATCCGACCAATCGGGTGGGGCGGAGCTCCGAGGTTAACGATATTCGATTGGTCGAACTCTACTTTCCGATCGCAATCCTCAGGGTGCCGTTCCATGGACACGTAATTGACGGAACGTTGAATCGGAAAAGCAGAATGGCGGGGAGCTGACCAATCCCAAGGATTCCCTTCCGTTCTTTTACACCGCCCACACAGCACAGAAAGATTGCAGGAAGATTGCAGAAATGTTACATTGCAAGATTGCAATATTGCAGCAACGTTGCACAACATTGCTGCAACGTTTCTGGAGGATTGCAGCAACGTTGAAATGTCCGCCCTCAGAGAGATTGCAGTGCAACATTATAGCAATGTTGCAGTCTAGTGCAATATTTTTGAAATAATTTATTGCTGTTGTACATAAGCAGAGAATTTACTAATTACATATACATCCGGGACTTTTTCAAGGCACAGCAAGCTTTTGCGAAGCAACCTAAGGAGGTTATGTCGCTTCGCAATAGATGGAGATTGCGAGCAACACCGCACTGATCAAGTACTTAATAATTCGCGCATTATTGGTATCAACGACAATAAAGCCCGCTGCAGACGATGCTATTTTTGCTGCTGGATTGCTTGCAATTTAGTAAATTACTAGGAATCCTGAATGCTGAGTGGTGCAATGATAGTAATTTACTAAATTGCAAGCAATCCAGCAGGAAAAATAGCATCGTCTGCAGCGGGCTTAACATCATAAAATTCTCGTAATTAGAAAAATTTTTTAAATAGAAAATATAGTATTTTCATTATTTTTTGAAACATTGCTGCAATATTGCTATCGAAAGTTTGCAATTTTATATCCCTGCAATGTTTCTGCAAGATTGCAACATTTCTACAATGTAACTGCAACCATCTGTGCTGTATGGGTACGAATTATGTTAACTCTTGAAGAAGAGAATATTTTTTTCTGTAATCTTAAGACGATTCTAAGGTCATATTGTTTACTGACACGGTCGAATATAATTTTTGCGCTTGTAAATTTTTTGATATACGAAAAAACGATATTCGAATGTGTCGGTAAAAAAGATAACTTTAGGACGATAATTTTCTATCAGAGATAGATTTTCGTTATTTTATTATCTAATCGCTACAGACATCGTTTCGCGAGTCCTTGTCGTTTATTTAAATGTTATTCGAAGTATCTCGGTAGCTTCGGCGTCGCGGTAAATTCTCGGGAGCGCCTCAGCGATGCTCGACGACGCAGAACCATAGAGAACATTCGAGACGCAGACGCGGCTTCACTCCACACCCGATGCGCAGTGAGCTCAGCGACGTTTCGCCGACACACATGACGCTGCACGACGCGAGTTGACAGTTGTTGACAGTTCGATAAATCGAGAGCGTGGATACTTCGGCCACGGCTGGCAATCCACGATGAGTGACTACAAAATACCGATGATCGAGCCGACTATAGACTACGCAAAGGTGTCGATGAGATTTTGACGTTTCCCGTGCATGCACACGTGCCGTCGGTCGAGGCCCGACGACGCCCGTCGAGACGCTCCGCGACGATACCAGCGCGAGCAGGCCTGAAAAATGATTTGCATTCTAGGTGCCGCCGATCAATCAAAAGCGCACGGTTTCCTTCATAAATCACTTTATCACCTACACCGTCACGTTTCTCAACAAATTCGCCTTGTCCTGCGAGGAGAGGCTGTTCCACTTCGAGAATAAGCTGCAAAAGTTAGAAGCGTCGTTAGAAATATTAGAATCGCGGGTACGTGTATTCCTGCGAGAGCATAGCGTACGGAGAAATTGTAAGAGAGAGGCAAGAGAGTCTCCCTTTGCGAAATAAATTTCCTTACGCACACGGAGTATACTTAACTTTTCACAAATGTTTTTTTTTGTTTACTTTGCCTCCGCACAGTTATCTTCTATACCTGGTTTAGAGCAAGAGCATCATAAAGACTCGAGTAACGTTAATGAGAATGATACAAGTAAATTAGAAGAGGTAGAAGCACGTCAAGGGGACGAGCCTGACGATAGCGAGACGAAGCCGAAGGACGAGGAGAAAGAGGTACAGTCTGCAGTTAAAGATCCACGCTACGAGAAGTATCTGAAAATGTTGCACTTTGGTGTGCAAAAAGAAGCAGTTAAGTTGAAACTGGAACAGGAAGGATTGGATACCTCTATATTAGAGTAAGTTGACATCAATTCCCTTACGTAGAGATATTTACATTGATACGTCAACGCGATCGGCAACACGTCTATATTGAAGTGAAAAGATTAACGATCACAGCATTTAAGCTTTTAATTCAATGTCATATTAATGGAAACTATCGTCACTGCGAATTAATCTATTTCAATCTATCCAGCACGACGGGCGTAAAGCTAAAATATATCAGTCTCTTTTTATTTTGTTAGCAATCCGCAACAGGTAGTTTCGATACCACGATTGTCAGAGAACGATGAGAATTCAGGCGACTAAGTACTAAGGTAATCGCTGTACGCGCCAATCATCTAAAGCATATTTAGAAAATTTTGCATTATGAAATACAGAATAAAGACATGTACAAATTCCTATAGATTTATTTATTTCTTAAATACAGAATGCAGAATGTGCGCAACGCTGAGTAGGTGGTTTAGAACTGGATCATTTGACCCTGAAAAAGAGAAACAGCAGTTTGTTGATCAAGATCTGTGCATGTTTCACTCTCGTCTGTTTATCTTCTAGATGTATTAGCGCTTACCTTTCTCTTCTTGTCACCTCCCAGCTCGAAGTGCTTGCACCTCTTCAGCGGAATTTGTTTTCTGTACTTGCATTCCGTGCACTCCATCCTCAGTACAATTTTCTTCGTTGTTTTCGCCTGAAATGATAGACGCATTTAGCTACATGATAATATGAAGATAAATCTGCTATCGTTGATTATCGAACTGGATTCTAATTTTAAGGGGTAATAATGCCACTCTAGCGTCCGGAAAAACAGCCTAATTTTGCCAAGTTCTTATGGGAATATAATGAATGGAATATAAAATGTGTTTTAAGGCCTTTATTGTACACACTTCGAAATGTAGTTTTTACGCTTGTAAATGATTTTATTGGCTTTTATGCAGAAAATAATAAGTTGCGGACCGCATAGCAGAACATTTTTGTACTTAAAACATTCCGTTCAGAAGTCTAGTAAGAAATTAATATTTGAAATTTATTTTTATTTGTGTGCAATTTGCAATTGATTTTATAAAATTGCAAAATTCTTCCACGCTTTCATAGTACGCATAAAAACAAGGTCAATTTCAAATTGTTCACACGAATACAAAATTAAAAATTTCAAATACCAATTTCTTTTTTATTAGACTTCAGAACTGGGTCTTTTAAGTACGAAAATGTTCTGCTTTGCGGTTCGCAGCTTATCCTGATGTTATTTGCTGCATATAAGTCAATAAAAAGACTTGCAAGCGTAAAAACTATTTCAAAAGTGTCGGTCAAAAAGACTTAAGGATCCTCTTAATAGACAATATTTGTTGGTTCCATCATGAATTTACTGCCCTTAGAATGAAGTGTGTGTGTAGTGAAAAATGCATTGTTAGAACGTGTAATCGTCGCGGTTGCATTTGGATGTTGCAAACCTGCCATTTTATACTAGAAGCCTATCTCATAATAGAGGACTTTCCTCCGTCGTTGAAGAACATTATCATAGCGGATTAATGTGTACGTCCATAAATTTGCATAAAAGATGTTACGGTAATATTTTCGCGCATAATATTGCTGTAACATATTCATTCAATATAATGCATAAATGTTGAACTGTGCAACTTATCGTGCGCTCACCTTCTTTCTGAAGATGGGCTTGGTTTGACCACCGAACCCTTGCTGTTTGCGGTCGTAACGTCTTCTGCCCTGCGAGGCATGTCGCTCCTTGCTCTTCTTATACTGCGTCACCTTGTGAGTCTTGTGTACCTTGCATTTCTTGCAAAAGGTACGCCTCTGCTTCGGCACGTTAACCTACAAGAAACAGAGCCCACGTTCAGAATCTTAGACATCGCAGTATAAATTTGTACAACGATCGGACAACCGATCTTCGAGGCGCGTTCGGTTTCCGATCCGCGCGAACAATTTCCTCGAAGCTCGGCTCGACGTAGCGCGTCGTCGCGTCACGTCGCATCAAAACACTTTGCAACCCGGTCCGTCGAACAGGTTATGTCTCCGTCGCGCCGAGCCGTCGCGACGCGAGCGACGAAATATCCGCGGCAAACCCCGGTGAACGTAATCGGGACGCGAACGCGGCACCAGCCGATCGTTCCGCGTGAGCGATTGTCGGGATATTCGCGGACGAAAACCCCGTGGGCACCACGTATTTACCTACCATCTTGAACGTATCGAGAGAAAGGAGATGCGCGGTCCGACCGGAAATCGTGGGCTCGCGGGAGCCGCGCGCCACGCGCCTGCGCGCGCGTCCTCTCCCCCCCTCCCTTCGCCGCCTTCCCGACGCGTTGCAATAAATTCAGAAACCTTGAGTGTATTTTTTGCGCGTCACACGCGCGTTAAATGTCGATACAGCGCTGACTGACGCTACGGTATTTCGCGAATCTCGATCGGGGGCGCGTGCGATCGTACCCCCTCGCCGCGGGGGTGGGAAGAAACGCGCGGGCGCTTCCGGCGGTAAGAGAGATCGGCAAGGGTCCCCGGCGAAACCGCTGTCGGATTCACACGCCATTGGCACAACTGGCATCAAAATTGGTGCGTAAAACGGCCAATCGATAAGCGCGATCTTATATTAAGCCGCCCCTCGTTATTCGCGTTACGCCGGATATAAATAAGCGAGCGACTCCGCGCGGATGGATTCGGTCTAACGATCCGCTTATCTACCTAATAATCCTGCGCGCGATGAATGAGCGACGTGTGTGCACAATTGGCCGACACGCAGCGACTACGTGCGCACATGCACTAAACAATAATATATGTGTACGTGTGTATGCATATATATATATATATACATCATTCGTGTGCGCATATATATTTATATACGTACACGTATGCGTGCGTAGCTTTAAAGGGGAAGGTCGGGACGTGTCTCTTTGTTTTCATTAAAGATCCGCTGACACACAACGATAAAAGTGCGGTTATTAATAGTAACGAAATAAGAAATAATCCTTTCGCTTAATCGGAACGACGGGCGAGCGTCGTCCAAAGGTCGTGTCTCGGGAAAGCCGGAGAGCGAGCGACCGATTTTCTCGAGGGGGTGCAGTTCCGCGCGCGTTCGGCCGGCCGTGCGCCTTCTATCTATAGATCGGACCGCGCCGCGTGCACCCGGGGCCGCGTCTTCGCGCGAAACGAGGCGCGAACGACGCGAAATTGGCCGCGAGTCGGCGGCGGACGCTGGCCGCGCGCGCGATCGTTTCCCCCGCTCGATCGTCCCGCGCGCTCGCGCACGGATATCTATCGATTTTTCGCGCGCGGGCGAGAATCCCCGTGGAAAGCGGCCACGTAGTAGGCGCGCGAGGGTACTCGCAGCGCCAAGGCTTATTTGAATCGAGCGACGTAGCCTCGAACCGGACGTCACGCTCGGGCCACGAACTCTCGAACCCCTCGTCCTCCGCGCGTTTTAATTTTATTTATACCCGGGGCGGGCGCGTCACGCGCGAGGGCCCTTCGGCGAGTCGCGGGACGTCGCGGGCCGCAATAAAATCGCGGCTCGCCCGCGGCGAGCGCGAAATACGGGCGATCGCGCGATCGGCCAATCGGGGATTTATCGGCTTTCAAAGCCGCGCCATCTTCATTTTTGAACAAAGCCAGGCTGGACGTGCCAGAGGCGAGTCGGGGTCTGGCGGTAGTCCGCTCTCCGCGCTATTCGCGCCACAGTCGTGTCGGCACACACTCCACTCCTGACTGGTTCGGTTCCTCCGCCGCCCTCGCCCCACCGCCCCGCGTCGCTCGCTCTCTTCCCCCACTCCGCCCGCTCGGCTTCGCTCCCTCTCCCTCGCAGCCCCTCGGGTCTTCGCCTGACGACGCTGTTCTCTTCTCTCAAGCATTTCGGCGGAAACCGACGTCGTGTGAGGATACGTATTTGTAGTTGCGCGTACACACCGCCGCCGCCGCCGCCGCTGCTGCTGCCGCTGGTGCCGCCGCCGCCGCCGTCGTCGTCGCCGTCGTCGTCGTCGCGGTCGTCGTCGTCGCCGCCGTCGCCGTCGTCGTCGTCGTCGCCGCCACCGCCGCCACCACCGCCACCACCGCCACCGCCACCGCCGCCGCCGCCGCCGCCGCCGCCGACACCGCCACCGCCACCGCCGCCGCCGCCGCCGCCGC